AGAGAGAGAGAGAGAAAGAAAGAGAAATACAGATACATATATGCCCAATAATCAGGACACGTACATTGTTTAGTGTTCATAGTAAGTGCAGATTTGCAAATTTCAATGTTTTGTGTCACTTAAGTCCCTGAAACTCAATTTTGAGAGCTTTCTAAGAGGCAGCATTGGAGTCCTGGTGTGGCATTGTGGGCTAATGTGCCTTTGGGACTGCAAAGTCGGTGGTTCAAGCTCACAGTTGCTCCATGGAAACCCTGGGTTGGAATTGACTCAACAGCACTTAACAACAACAAGAGGCAGTATTATTGGACATTGCCTCAGATAGATCTGAATTCTGATTCCAGTATTTAATTATGCTGGCATCAGCAAACTGTTGAACCTCAGCTTCTGAATGTTTAAAGTTGAGATGATGGTATCTACTTTGTAGAATGATTGGAAGTTGGACAGGATAATGAATGTAAAGATCTTAAAATGAAACCTGGCATATAGTTCAAAGTATTCAGTGTTTTTGAAAACACCTGAATGAAAGAGTCAAATTAAGTTAAATCTGAAATGTGTGCTGTAATAAAAATATAATGAAGGAAATAATGATTTTTTAAAAATCTGAAACGTAAATCTCACTGTGAAGAATGTAAAGTACGGTCAAGTTTAGACAGATTCATACCTGTGAGTAATATGCTTTGTGAAATGAATAATGAATAATGCCATTTACTTACCATTACAACCGTTGGGAGGCTTAACTTTTCCAGCCTTGAAAGAGAAACAGCCTTTAGTGACTAACTGCCTCTATTTCCCTGTCTTTTCAGTCATGTATCCTGCATATGCAAAATGGGTACAATCACATCGAGACCTGCCCATCAGACTGAATCAGTGGTGCAATGTGGTGGTAGGTACACACCCCTTTCTGCATTACTTCATCATTCCTCTCGATTTGTTTAAAACATACACTCACACACGTAGTTTTTTTAAATTTCCATATTCCAAAGGATTGAGAGGATGAATGAATGCTTTTGATGAAGTATTTTGAATTAGAATTAAAGTTTTTCGATGACTTCCATAAAGTCGTTAGTAAAAAATTTAAAAACACTCTATAGTGCTTAAATTATCTTCTTGTCTCTTACAGCGTTGGGAGTTCAAGCATCCTCAGCCCTTTCTACGTACTCGTGAATTCCTGTGGCAGGAAGGGCACAGTGCTTTTGCTACCTTTGAAGAAGCAGAGAAAGAGGTATAAATAGTTGTCTTCCACATTAATTTTGCCCTCTTTCTTTGTCAAGGGTCTACTGTTTTGTTTTATTTATAAGTAATGTGGGTGTTATCAGTTTATATAGTAAGCACTTAATATAAGTTAACGCTTGATCTGGTAGCAAACTAATATTAAAAGGTAATTTCTTGGTGTAATTTCTTTTGTTATTTAAAATGTATCTATCACTTGCTAAAATCCACGTAATTTAAGTGTATTTAGATTTAAGAAATTGTTGAAATTTTATTAGTAAATGAAAATTTGTGTTTTAAAATTTAACAGGAAAATATTTTTAAACTTTAATTTTATGGAAATAATTATAATTGCATGATTGACATGAATTCTTCAGATTTTTACCCTAATTGTTATATATCTTTCATAAATACTTACTTTGTTTTTTATATTGTATTCTACATTTATATAGTTTTCTAAAAATATTTCAACATCTTTTCACCATGTTTTTTCAGTGTCTTTGTTTTAGTGGGTCTTTAACAGAAATCCTACAAGTGTATCGCTTTAACAAACAGAATTTATTTCCTCACACTGTTGGTGGCTAGATGTCTGAATTCAGAGCACCAGCTCTAGGGGCAAGCTTTCTCTCTGGAGCAAAGTACTTGTCTCTAAAGTTTCCGTACATCGGTGCACGGCTCCTGGGTGGTCTTTGGGAACCCCGAATTCTGGGCGTAACACTTGGAGATCTCCATGTTTCTTGGATTTTATCTTATCCCATCTTTCTTGCTCATTTTTTTTTTCTAATGTTTTATTGTAGTTTACATGGGAGAACGTTAGTTTTACATTCATTCTATCGTATATCATTTCTTTCTTGCTCTCATTTATTTATTTTTTATATCTCAAAAGAAATTGACTCAGCAAATACCCTAAGCTAATCCTGCCTCAAAGCATAACAAAGACAACCCATTCCCAAATGGGATTATAGCCACAGGCCTAGAGGTTAGGGTTTATAGTACATATTTTTAGAGAACACAATTCAATCCATAACATTCCATTTTTGGGCTTCGCAAAATCCATGTCTTTGCTGTACACAAAGCACATTCACTCTGTCACATCACCCCCAAACTCTTAAATCAACTCCAACCTCAGAGTCTCATCTTCTTAATCTCCTAAATCAAATGTGAGTGTGAGTTTAGGCATAGTCCATCTTGTGGGAAAATTATTCTTCTTTGAAATCTAGATTACAGTGACCTATTATAAAAATTTCTATTACAAATGGGATAAACTGGAACAAAAGAAGGGATAACAGATACCAAGCAAGTCCAAAATCTAGCAGAGCAAATTACATTAGCTCTCAAGACTTGAAAATCATCCTCTCTTCTCTGAGACCATCTGATTGGCCTTGCCCTTTGGATTCTGGGTGGAGGTCACTTGACCCTGGGCTTTTAGCTCCACCTTCCAGGCCCTCTGGGATGGCAACTTGGCTCCCTTGGGTTTGGCTCCCCGATTCTCCTAGTGCATTTGAGTGGTGACGTCAGCTCTGGCAGGTCCCTTTGGCATGGCAGCCCTGTCCTCTAGACTGGTTGGCATCCCCATTCCCCGTGACACTCTTTAACCGAGTGTTCTCTATCATTAATGTTCCCTAGTTGGTTTAATCGTGTGGAGTCCTGGTATGGTGCTGTGGGTTAATGCACCAGACTGCAAAGCCATTTGAACTGCAGGGTTGGCGGTTCAAGCTCAACAGCTGATCCTTGGAAACCCTACACAAGGTCACTATGGGTTGGAACTTAAGAAGTTGCTTTAATCGGGTTCCATCCGGCATTACTGCCCCTGGGCATAAGCCCCTGTAGTGAGGTGGGGGAAACAACAGGGACTGCATTTTGGAGAAACAGCTAATTTAGCTATTTCTCCTTCAACTGTTTGTTGTTTTTTTTCCTTTTGTATTAATCTATAAGTGGCAATGCAAGCCCCTTTAAGATATTCTTAGATATATTATTGGCCAGATATTGAAATTAATTACTTTACAGGTTCTTCCACCAGACATTTGAACATAATTCAAACTATTTGTTTGCTACTGCATAAAAAGCACTACCCTTCCTCCATTGTCCAGTCACATGTTCATCATTGTCTTTGAAAGCCTCACCAGAAGTACATTTGACTTCATATTTCTAGCACCATTCTGTTGCTGGTATTAGCTAAGATGATAAAGCCTTTCTCTGTAGCTCTTCCGTATTCTCTAGCTATATCTTCTGAGTCCTCACCTGAATTGTTTTTGATGTCTGTTAAGTCTACCAAGGGAATTTAGGTTTCTACTATTAGGCACTTTAGAATTCTTCCAGCCTCTGCATCCATCACCCAATTCCAAAACTGCTTTCACATTTTAGGTATCTGTTAGAGCAGCACCCCACTCTTTCATTACCACATTTTCCCTTAGTTATCTAGTGCTGCGATAACAGAAATAAGTGGATGACTGTAGCAAAGAGAAGTTTATTCTTTCATAGTTTAGGAGACTAGATGTCCAAGTTTACAGCACTGGCTCTAGGGGAAGATGGTCTTTCTCTGTCAGTTCTGGAGAAAAGTCCTGGCTTCTGCTTCCTGTTTCCTTGGAGATCTTCATGTGTCTTGGCATCTGTCTTTCCTCTACTCACTTATTAATCTATGTTTTATCAGAAGACATTGACTCAAGACACCACAGTCTACACTAATCCTGATTCATTAGCATAACATAAACAGCTATTCCCAAACGGAATTATAATGACATGCATATATTTGGGGGGATGCAATATAATCCTTAATGTTGTTTTTGTTCAGCTCACAGAAACCCTCTTTAGGGTTTCTGAGGAGTGGCTGGTGGGTTTGAACCGCTGAGCTTGTTGTTTTAGCAATACAGTGCTTACCCTACAGTGCCACACCAGCACCCCAGTCCTTAATAGTCTTCCTTAATACATTCAAATTGGCTGCTTCAATTCTTTCCTTAAAAAGATTTTTATGCTTCAAGTGTTTTTCTAATATAGTTTCACAGTTTTACAGAGTTGTTATGAATAAATAATGCCTAAAGTTTGAACACATTTACATTTAAAATGTTTTTACAGGTTTTAGAGATACTTGACTTGTATGCTCGGGTGTATGAAGAACTGCTGGCAATTCCTGTTGTAAAAGGAAGAAAGACTGAAAAGGAGAAATTTGCAGGCGGAGATTACACAACCACAGTGGAAGCATTTATATCTGCTAGTGGAAGAGCTATACAGGTATCAAACCGCTAAGGGTTTAGTTGCTGCACAGCTGATTGGCAGATCCAGTCATTTCTCCTGTCACCAAGAGAAATAAAATTTTTATTAAGAAATATTTCATGTTTTCTGGGGCCATATTGTACCTTCAAACAGATCTGTCCTATTTCCCTAACTTTCTTGTCAGTTCTGTAGTCTTTTCTTTGAAAAGGTAGGTTCCTTTTTTACTCTTCTATCCTTTAAATTTTAATTTTGTTGTTGTTGAGAATAAACATAAAAAGTTAGCATCAACTCAATAGTTTCTACATGTACAATTTAGTGACGTTGATTATTTTCTTGAGTTGTACGACCATTTTTACCCTTTTCTGACGTTTTCCTCCCTACTAACCCCACTGCCTCCTAAGGTTCCTATTTAATCTCTTGAGTAGCTTTTGTCAGTTTGATTCCATATAGATAGTTCTTAAAAGAGCATTATGCTCAAGGCTGAGCATTGTTACTAGTCAAGTTAATCTGTTGTTTGGTTTTAAGACTTAAGGGAATATTTTTGGTATAAGGTTTAAGATTGTGTCAGGACAACAGTTTCAGGGATTCCATTACCCTCAGAAGCTACAGAAAGTCTAGAGTCCTTGAGAATTTGAAATTCTGTTTGACCTTTCCCCTCTTTTGATCCAAGATTCTACTGTGGAATCTTTGATGAAAATATTCAGTAATTGTAGCTGGGCACCATCCAGTTCTTCTGACCTCATGACAAGGGAGGTGTTGTTGCTGGAGGCAACTAGCCACATGTTCCTGTTCCTGATTTCTCCTTTCTGTGTTGGTACTGGTGAATGGAAATTAATGTACCTTGAATGGCCCCTTTACTCTTATAGTTGAAGTTGCTCATATGAGAAGTGTTGTGTAGAGCAGTGCATGTCTGTAGTATTTTTTGGCTAGCCATGGTCTCTTGGGCCTTATTGGCACAATGGTTGAGCACTGACTTGTAATTGAAAGTTGGTTGTTCAACCCCACCAGCCACTTCACAGGAGAAAAGACCTAGTGATTTGCTCATGTCAAGATTGCAGCCTTGGAAGCCCTACGGGGTAGTTCTTTTTTGTCATATCATCAGGTCACTATGAGTTGGAATCCACTTGATGGCACACAGCTTACCTCTTGTTGTATCAATTACACTTATATTTTAAAACCACATTTCCTATTTTTAAAATGACAGGAAGTATAAAACTGGTCTAGTGCTATTTTCTCAAAGCTTAACAAAGATTGTGAGGATGGTGCAGGACCAGGCAGTGTTTTGTTCTGTTGTGTATACGGTCGCTATGAGTTGGAATTGCCTTGATGACACCTAATAACAACAACAGTGCTATTTTAAAACCTGAGAGTTCTTAATCCTCTACAAAGGCATTATAGGTTATTAAAAAATAAAACCTACATTTCTCTGTTTTAGGGAGGAACATCACATCATTTAGGACAGAATTTTTCCAAAATGTTTGAAATCATTTTTGAAGACCCCAAGGCACCAGGAGAGAAGCAATTTGCCTTTCAAAACTCCTGGGGCCTGACAACTCGAACTATTGGGGTTTTGACGATGGTTCACGGAGACAACATGGGTTTAGTATTACCACCCCATGTAGCCTGTGTTCAGGTAAGAAAAACATTTCTGTTGATATTCCCACTATAAATTTTAAAGCCATGTTTACTAAAGGAATTTGAAAGGATGGTTTTTCTAAAATATCCAGTAGATTTCACTGAAATATAAACAACATAGTCTGTATTTTCCTGTATAACTTGTGTTTTTATTGCTTAAAAAAAAAATTTTAAGCTGTTTTATATAAAAGTTTTGTTTTATAAGGTATATATAATACATTAAATGAAATGAGAGAATGAGAATGCATTTAGCATGGACATGCGATATGTAGCAAATTGATAGATCTTATGTGTATGTACATTTGTGATGTAAACAGATAAGCATTTCATTGCTAGACAAAAGTTTGGTAGTTAGAACCCACCAGACACGTATTAGGAGAGAGGCCTGCTGCTCTGCTCCCAGAAGGCTACAGAAAGGTTGTTGAGCAGTTCTGCTCTGCATGCGTGGGGTAACCAGGAGTAGAAATTGACTTGACAGCAACTCAACAACAGCAACATACGTAGATTAGGGGTCAAATAGTGGATTTGTGTTAAATTTTATAGTCACTTGTAGGTTTATAACTACTGGATAGTATATAATGATACGGCTTTAATACTTCTGGATATTGATTCTTTAAATTTAAGACATTTTTCTGGGTTTAGGTGGTGATTATTCCTTGTGGCATTACAAATGCACTTTCTGAAGAAGATAGAGAAGCCCTGATTGCCAAATGCAATGATTATCGAAAGCGGTTACTCAGTGTTAATATTCGTGTTCGAGTTGATTTACGTGACAACTATTCACCAGGTTGGAAGTTCAATCATTGGGAGCTCAAGGTAAATTCCTCAGTTGTGCCTTTTACCCTTATACCCCAGTTTACACTTAGCTATTGTTTGGTTTGTTTTATTCTGCTATATGCGTGTGTGTGTGTGTGTGTGTGTGTGTGTGTGTGTGTGTATAACTTGAAGGGTTTTTCATTCATTACTGTTGTCTGTTTTGACATTTGTAATGTTTTACTTTTTCCATTTTCATTTAAAGAAGTATTACATGCCTACACATTTCACAGCTTTGTAATATCAATACCTAAAATTTATGTCTGCTGAATCTGTAATAGTTTTGTAGAAGTTGGTTTTTATTATGTTAGAATAAAAATCATCTTCAAGACCTAGTTGATGCTTGATAAGCTTTGTATGGTTGATGTACTAAAATGTTTGTCGGGAATTCATGTAAACCCTGAAACAGTAAGGCCATCGGTATAGTGGTGTGTGCGCATCCCTTAGCTGTCATTGTTATAAACAAGAGATTAATTTCTTACATTGTTTTCCATACCTCATTGTTTTCACATTATTTCACACATCATTTTATTTTTATTTTACATATAACAAATTCAGTTCTGGTTTAATGCTTTTAGTATAACTTTTATTTATTACACATTTTCATGAACAAATGATCTCTCTTAATTCCATTTTTCATACTGTTAACATTTTTTTCTTAAAATGAAACAGGGGCTTTTGTTGGAACTAGAGATTAGGAGCCAAGACTATAAATTAATGAGATGGAATAGGAGATGTGAAGAGATTTTTGTGCGTTTAATGGTTACCATGACTACCATGAATGGGTCCTGGCTGTGCCTAGGTCCTGAGCCCCTCAGTGTTTTGGAGTGACTTTACCTTCAAGATATAATGTGTTATGCTATGTGAGAGGCCTAGTGTGGCGCTGTAGGATAAGCACTACTCTTGTAATTGCAGGGTCGGCAGTTCAAACCCACCAACCACTCCTCAAAAACCCTAATAGGGTTTCTGTGAGTCAGAACCAACTCAGTGTCACTTAACAACAAGAGCAATCAGAAAAAATTTGGGAATGCTGATCTAGACAATTATTTTCTCATGTTTCCCCACTAAGAGCTTCCTTAGCTCAGAACCATTCAAGCAGCAGATTTTTTCTTAGTTTTATTCTTATTGGTATAGGTTTCTGAAATAATCTCAGAAATAGTCCGTCCCCCCTTTTCTTCCCCCTTATTTGGTATTATGCATGTGAAGTTTGGATTTTTATGATATATAGTAGATACAAGAATCCTGGTTTGGTGCTGTAGGATAAGCCCTTGACTGCTAATCACACAAGGTCAGCAGTTCAAATCCACCAGCGGGTCCTTGGAAACCCTACACAGGGTCGCTGTGAGTTGGAACCGACTCGATGGCACTTAACAAAAACAATAGTAGATACAGGCATAAAATAAATTTATTTTTAAATAAGTCATTTGAAGACATGCATGTACTATTTCACCTACCTTATTTGTTTCATAGGGAGTTCCAATTAGACTTGAACTTGGGCCACGTGATATGAAGAGCTGTCAGTTTGTAGCTGTTAGACGAGATACTGGAGAAAAGCTAACAGTCACTGAAAATGAGGCTGAGACTACACTTCAAACCATTTTGGAAGACATCCAGAGTAATCTTTATACAAGGTTAGTTCCTTAGAATTGTTCTGTCTTGCCTTCAAATCCTACCCAGCCTTTGAAATCTATACCAAGGGATGTTTTTGACTGCCACACCGGAAGAAATGTTTCCCTTTCTTAGCTCCATTGGTACTTAGTCTCTCTTTTGGGGTTTGACTTTATAGGTATTTAAATGTGTCCCTGTGAGCAGAGGATGGTTGCAGATAAGTTGTCTTAGTCTCGATAGGTGGCCTTCAAAAAAATGGATAGTTTTGTGCCAGGGAAGAAAATGATTTTGAGGTCAGGGTTAATAACAAACTTTTAACAAAACTCAAATGGACACTTTCCCAAATCATTGAAGCTCTGCAACAAATGCTGCTCCACAACAATTTTTTAGGTGGACGAAGCATTTTCAGGAAGGTCAAGAAGTACTCAAAGAGAAGCCAAGAGAAGGAAGATCATCAAACTTGATTAATAAAGAAACTGTGCCTGAAGTTAAGAAGCTGGTGGAAGAAAACCATCGAATTGCCATTGATGCAGTAATTACTGAAGTTGGGGGTTTCAGATGGTTTAGCAGTTTCAGTTTTACACTGACATCTTGGCTCCATTAAGGTTTTGTCTCAAAAAGTGTTTCGTGACAATCAAGCTAGCTCAAATAGTTGGTGGATCTTTCTTTCAGTCTTTTAAGCAAGCTCAAAACTAATGATGGCAGTTTTATAGAATGAATCTTACCTGGGGATGAATCTTAATGTGTTAACTCGAATAATATCTGTTTATTTGTTTTTCTTTTCAGATCAACTCTATGCCTTTATATTTGAGACTAAATAAATTGCCAGAATACTCTTTTAGTTTTATAGAAAGGAAACTAAGACCAAAGAGTCTTGTAAAATCAGCCAGATTCCCATAGCTAGTAAGTAGCATAGCCAGGACTGTATGCAAAGTGGTTGCAAAAGGTTTGTGGAAAAATTTCATTATTTTTTAATTCCATTTTTCCATCTTTCTTGAGCCCCCAATAATGTTAGTCAGTAGAGATTTCATAATAATTACAGAAGTAATTATCATTGTGTTTTTGTCATATTTCCCATACATTTTATGCTCGAGTGCAGCAACGGGGTAGCTGAGATTACCGAAGGTCACTGCTAGTGACAAAATCTAGGTTCACATTGAGTTTATAGGACTTCCAGGTTATTGTTATTTCATTCAAGTATGCCTCCTCATTGCTATCAAGTCAAGTCTGACTCATATAGCACCCCGCTAGAACAGAGTAGACTGTCCAGACAGTCTCCAAAGGCTGTAAATCTTGGTGGAAGCAGACTGCTACATCTTTCTCCCACAGAGTGGCTGGTGGGTTCAAACCACTGACCTTTTGGTTAGCAGCTGAGCATTTTACCACTGCACCACCAGAGCTCCTTAAGTTATGTTTGCTTTATGTACTTTAAAAAAAAAAAATCTGTCATATTTTTAAGAAAAATGATATATTCCAAATTTTTCTTTTGTAGAGCTTCTGAAGGCCTTAAGACTCATATGGTTGTGGCAAACACGATGGAAGACTTTCAGAAGGCACTAGATTCTGGAAAGGTAAAAGACTTCTGAAAAGTTTGGAATATAAAAATATTTTAGTAAATCTTATTTTAAGCTCCATTGAATTTATGTCTGGTATGGACTCCTGGTGTGGCTCTGTAGGATCATCACTGGACTGAGAACAACAGGTCAGCAGTTCAAACCCACCAACTGTTCCTTGGAAACCACTCATAGCAACCATACGGTGTCACTATGAGTCAGAACTGCCTTGACGGCACTTAACAGCAACAACAACAATTATTGATACGAAACCAGACCTAAACCCACTGCCAACATAACAAAGCATTTGTGGCCCATACAAAATTATCTACCTAAAAATTAGCCTGCTATATTTGGTCCAACATTTAATTAACTTATCCTTAATGTGATGGCTGGAATTGTGGTTGCCTAGGCAGGATCAGAACAGTTTCCACCCCTGATAAAGCCTCAGAAACCCTATACAGGGTCCCGTGAGTCGGAACTGACTCATAATAACAACCTGTTAGTATGTCTCTGATTGTAATAAGCTGGGCAAATTAATCTCTTTGCCTCTCAGTTTTCTAATCTGTAAAATTAATGCAAAGTAGATAATTTCAAACTTATCTTTAGATCCATAACTCTATAGCATTTTATCTGTTATTCATGGGTTGCATCCTGTGTAATCTTCTGCCTTTCTGGGCTCTATAGTCTGTTACTTGACTTAGCTTTCTTACTTGAAGCACAATGCTAGTGAATGGATAGTCATCTGAAATATATTTTTCCTCTAATTTATTTACAATAACTTTGTTTTTATTTCATTAAATACTGAATCTTTTCATTTCCTTTATTGTAGAAATACGGCAGCCACTTTTACAGTACACTGTTGTTGCTGTCACGTCAGTTCAGACTCATAGTAATCCTGTGTAGAGTTTCCAAGGTTGTAAATCTTTGTGGGAGCAGAAAGGCTCATCTTTCCCCCATTTACAGTTAATAAATCAATAGACTAACTAACACATCAGTTGATCTATTGCTTTCGCAGAATTGAATCCCAGCAAGTATTAGTGGAATCCTATCTTTTATTCTATTAGATAAACTACTGTAGAGATTTCAACATCTGTTATAAAGGAGAGCAAAGAGTATTTAGTATGTTCACACAGAGATCAGAAACAAATTATATTTCTTGTACTTAGTAGCACTTCATCCTCGCCTTTACCTCATGTTGATCAGCATAGATGTGTCCATTGAAAATCAAACTATTGGAAATAAAATTGTAGTTGCTAGGAAGAGAAGGAAGATGGGAGTTTTGGAACTTGAATGTGGATTAAGGTTTGACTTTCTTGTCCTACCTATTGATATAAGTGGAAAAATATACTGCTGATACAGATGACTTAATTTTAGTGAAAATTTTTTTATGGGAAGGATTTTAACTAAAATGAAAAATAAATATTATAGGAGCCAAGTGGCGGCTTAGTGAGACATACCATGCCATCTCTCTAGCAAAGACTTGGAACTATGAATGTTAAACAGAAGATGTTGTGGTAGGCAAATGCACTGATCCTATGCTCTGTAACAAAGACATGGGAGACCGAGTAAAACAAATAGAGATGGTGATCCTGGAACCCTGAGCTTCAGAGGATAGGATAGACAGGTGGATTGAGTGCCGACTGGAAGAGGAAGCTGAACAGGAGCAGTGAGAAGGGTGGCCTGTGGTCTGGCATGAAGCAGCACAGCCATCGTGGGCTTTTGGGAGCAGCTGTTGATACAGTAGTCTGCAGGCACAGAACGTGGCTGAGGTTGGCAGCAAAGGGCGGCAGTTTGTTCTCTCTTGTTTCCCATACCCTCTGGGTAGCCAGGAGCATGGCCAGTCCCCACCCTAATCAAACCACTGGTCATTGGTACCCCCTTCCTTGCAGCCTCTGCTCTGCCTGAGGTTGGGTGCCTAGCAGAACACCCCTGCTTCTGGAGGCACATGAACCCACCCTGAACTCCACTACATAAGCAGTGAACAGAGAACTCATTGCATTCACACTTGTGTTCTCTACCGCATGCACCAAGAGACAGGTGGTAACAGCCTGAGCATACACCATTATACAGTCTTCAGTCAACTGTAAATATAACATCACAGTGTCTTGGAGGAAACAGACAGTTTCAGCTTACACAAAGAAACAAGACAGAGTTCCTCAAACAAGTGACCAAAATACAGCGTGACAGAACTTGTTAAGTGCTGTCGAGCTGGTTCCAACTCATAGTGACCCTTTGTACAAGAAAATGAAACTCCACCCGGTCCTCACAATTGCTACACTCAAACCCATTGTTGTTACCGCCGTGTCAGTCTATCTTGTTGAGGGTCTCCCTTTTTTTTGCTGTCCCTCCACTTCACAAAGCATGACTTCCTTCTCCCGGGACTGGTCCCTCCTGATAAGACATCTGAAGTATGAAAGATGAAATTTGGCCTTCTTAGCTTCTGAGGAACATTCTGGTTGTACTTCTAAACACAGCTGCTTATTTTTCTGGCAGCCCATGGTACCAAATACAGAGTCAGAAAATAAAACACCAGAAATGATATTGGAATTACCTGATAAGGAATTTAAAAGAATGCTAATTAGGCAACATCAACGGATTAAAATAATGATATAAAATACTGCAGATCAAAGAAAACGGACAAAATTTAGAAGAATTTAGCAAACAACCTGACAAAATAAATAAAAAAAATAGTAATGATAAAATCAGCAATTAGAATGCCATAAGATTAGTACTAAGATTTCAGAAATAGGTACTATGCTGAAAGAGCAAAGAAATAGAATTGAATCAGTGAAAGACTAAATTACAGAGCTTGAAGGAAAAGCTCTCAGTATTCATCTGCAAGAGAGGCAATCACAAAAAAAGCAAAAACCTCCAAGGAAAGCCTAAGAGATTTGTGTGGAAAGGAGGAGTGACTTACATATGATTGGAATGCCAAAACAGGAAAAGGCAAGAATATGCATAGAGAGTTTTTGGAAGAAAACTTCCCTAATGTGAAAAATGAGCAAACAGCCATTCAAGAAGTTGAATGAACTCCAAACAGGATGGAACCCAAAAGGAAAACACAAAGACATTATACTCAAACATTTTTAAATCAAAGATAAGGAAAGAATCCTGAGAGCACTTCAGGAAAATTTAAAAAATTACTTACAAAGGAGAACTAATCTCTGATTGCTCAGCAGAAACCATACAGGCAAGAAGCATGAGACAGTTAGTTGTCAAGGTTGGCAGTTCAAACCTACCTTTGCATGGTTGCTATGAGGTGGAACTGACTTGATGGCACTTAACAGCAGTAACATGTAAAACTCTGAAAGAGAAAAAGCGTCAACCAAGAATCCCATATCCACCAAAATTGTTTATCAGATAATGATGGCAAAGTTAGGTACTTTTTAGATGAACAGAAATAAACTAGACCAACCTTAGAAAAAAGTACTGAAGGAAGTTCTTTGGATTGAGAACCATAAACAGCCCAAGACTGACATACATGACAATATCAAAGAACATCATTCATGAGGAAAGCAAAAAAAAAAAAAAGAGCGGGGGATGAATGGTGTAGTAATAAAATTTTTAGAGGAGAGGAAGTTGAAATGACCTCAAGAAATAAGATTGTTTTAAACATAGAAAGGTAAAGGTATCTTAAGTAATCAAAAATAAAATTTATCAACCTGCTCATCAAAATGAAGAAGAAATGCAAAGCAGTCAGTAAACCCATTCAGTGGGACAACAAATACATGAAGAGATTTTCACCAGCATTAGCCATTGGTGGTGGTGGTGGTGGTGGTGGTGTTAGTGTGCTATCAAGTCGGTTCCGACTCCTAGTGACTCCGTGTAGGATTTCCAAGGTTGTAAATCTTTATGGGAACAGAAAGCCTCACCTTTCTCCTGCACAGCTGCTGATTCAAACTGCTGACCTTTTAGTTTAGCAGTTGACACATAACCCACCATGCTACCACCCCTCCTTAGCATTAGCCATTGTTGTTGTTGTTAAGTACTAGTCAGTTCCGACTCACAGTGACCCTGTCTAGGGTTTCCAAGGAGCAGCTGGTGAGTTTGAACCACCAACCTTGCGGTTAGCAGTCCAGTGCTTATCCAGCGTACCACCCAAGACTTCTGAGAGATGCAAATAAAAACTACAATGAGCTACCATCCCATGCCAGCAATAATGGCCCTGAAAAAACAAACAAACCAGAAAGCACCAAATAACTGTTGAGGTTGTGGAAAGACTGGGACTATCATGTACTGCTGGAGGGAATGTGAAATGGTACAACCACTATGGAAACCATACGGAGCTTCTCAGAAAGCTAGAAATAGAAATGCCATATGATCCATCAGAACCACTTCCTGGGTTTATATTTTAGAGGAATAAGAGCCGTGACATGCATAAACATATATATGCACACCTTTATTCATTGCAACGGAGTCCTGGTGTGGTGCTGTGGACATTAGTCCACAATGTGTCAGACTGCAAAGTCGTCGGAACTACAAGGTCAGGGGTTCAAACTCACCAGCTGCTCCTTGGAAACCCTATACAGGGTCGCTAGGGGTTGGAATCGACTCGATGGCACTTCACAACAACAATTCATGGCAGCACCATTCATAATAGCAAAAAGATAGAAACAACCTAAATGCCCAACAGTGGATGAATGGATATACAAATTTGGTGCATGCCCACAATGGAATACTATGCAATATTAAAGAATCTGTAAAATATCTTATAACCTGAATGTATCTGGAGGACATTATGCTGAATGAAATAAGACAGTCATAAAAAAGGGCAGATATTAGATGAAACCACTCTTATAAAAAGTCAAGAAAAGGTTTCTACACAGAAAGCAGTATTCTTTGATGATTACCAGGATTAAGAGGGATAGGAGGAAAACTCACTTACTAGATAGTAGTGTCCCTTCCCTTTGGTGAACGGAAAGACAATACACAACATGGAGGAAGCACAGCATGACCAGGACAAAAGACACAGAAGCAAGAGTAAAAAGGTAAATGGTAAATTACTATACAGTCTTGCAACACAGTAATAACAGATGTAATGTACGAGTGGATACATAGCTGAATAGTGCAGGAGGTTGTGTGGGAGAGAGTACAACCACATGTATATATAGGGTTGTTGTTGCTGTTGTTGTTATGTGCAGTCTAGTCTGTTCCAACTCATAGTGACCCTGTATAGGGTTTCCAAGAAGTGAATGGTGAGTTTGAACTACTGACCTTGCAGTACAAAGCTTATCCAACAGCACCATACCAGGACTTTATATATAAAGTTGGCAGCAGCTATTGCTACATATAAATATCTTTACATGCAGTATATCCATGTCTATATGTCTATAACAGACTACACAATGTGCACAGTTGTGAAAACTTCTTAGCCATAACCAAACACCTAGTGGGCTTGACAGCAAGAGACCATAGTCCGAGGGATCATCTAAGTCAATTGGTACAACATAGTCCACAAAGACAGTGTTTGTTCTATAACCTGTTTGGGGAAGAAACAATTGGGGTCTTAAAGCTTACAAACAGCCATCTATGTTACAACTATTGGTCTCTTTTCGATCTGGGGCAAAGATGCGTAAAGAAAAGCAGAGGTTCGGGAAATAATTAGTTTAATGGATATTAATGGACCTGATCCATGGTCTCCATCAACCTGAGGCCAGAAAAACAAGGTGGTGCCTGGTTACCACCACCAAATGCTTTGACTGAGATTGTAATTTTTGTTATTTGTTGTGCTGTTGAGTTAGTTCCAACTCACAGTGACTCTGTGTAGGATTTCCAAAGAGTGGATGGTGAGTTTCAATTGCAGACCTTCGGGTTCAAACCGGTGTTGTGGCTGAGTGCTTATCCTACAGCACCACACCAGGGCTAAGATCTTAAGAGCAGATACCTAATAGAGTGGGACAAGGGAGAAAATGTAGAACAAAATTCAAATTCATAAAAAAGACCAAACTTAGTATTTTAATAGATACTGGAGGAGGAACCTCCGAGATTATGGCCTTTATTTAGATGCCTTTCTAATTCAGAACTGAAGCTACTCCCAGAGATCACCTTTCAGCCACATAAAAGTCAGACTCTGGAATGATCGATCACCTATATAAGACCAAAAGGAAAGTTAAAACAGCACTGAACAGTGGAAGTGAGAAGCACGTTGTGAGGCTGGCTACCAACATCGCAGAGTAATCTGTGTGTGAATTACTGAATGGGAAACTGATTTGCTCTGTAAACATCCACTTTAACTACAATAAAATATTAACAGTAAATAAGCATAAATAATGTGTAAACGTCACAGTGGGAGTGTGGACTGTGCAGGGTTTCGTTTTGTCATACGTAGAGTCACTATGAGTCGGAACTGACTCATTGGCACCTGACAACATGAATAATGTACATAATTTTCGATCGTTTCCAAACTTTTAGTAATCTGCTTTATTGATTGCGATCATTTTTGAGCGTTGATGTTTCTCACTGTTAACATTTACTACTAGAGAATTTTAGAAATGGTGAAAAGATTGTCTTTTCTTAAAAGTAGGAAATAATCAAAAGCCTTTTCCATGGCTGAATAAGTAGCTTAAAAATATCCTAACCTTCCGTATTATACAAGAAAATCTGTCTTTGAAGAAGTACAGCCCGAATGTTTCTTAAGAAGTAAAGATGACTGGACTTTATCTCTTGTACTTTGGCTATGTTGTCAGGAGGGACCGGTCTCTGGAGGACGTCATGATTGGTAAAGTGGAGGGTCAGCGAAAAAGAAGACCCCCCCAAGGAGATAAATTGGCACAGTAGCAGCAAAAATGAGTTCATAGGAACCATGAGGCATGGTGCAGGACCAGGCAGTGTTTAGAGCTGTTGTACTAGGGATGCTATGAGTCACAACTGACTCAACAGCAGCCAACAGCAGCAACCACCTGGTGGCGCAGTTGGTCACATATTGGGCTGGTTGGCAGTGCAGCCACTCCACAGAAGGAAGTTGAGACTTCCTGCTCCCGTAGAAATTTACAGCCTCAAAACTCCTATACAGGATCACTATGAGTAAGAATTGACTCAACAGCATACAACAACAGTAACCTTTCATATTAATAATGATTATTACTCATTGTTATTAAATTATTAAATGGGTTTAATAATTTATAATGAATTACACATATAAACAACCAGATAAGTTAAGTTCCAGGGTATTCATACTTCCCTAGTGTTACTGTGTCTCCTATAGATCAGTCGTTTGGCTGAAATTTGAGCCATGAAGGTAAGTTTATTTCCAGACATGAAGGATGACTAAGCATATTAACCCACAGCGCCACACCAAGACTCCATATGTGTGTGCTTTGTGTGTGTGTATATATAGCACTTAACAACAACAACAACACCTTCTAACCAAAATCTCTAGCAGGTTTGCAAAGCTCTCATGACCTAGGAAATCTGTGATACTTACCCTTATAGCTTTGTAAGTCTGATAGAAAATTCAAATGTTGCCTTTTATAGAATGTTGTTACATGTTGTCAAGTCAGTTCTGACTTATAGTGACCCTGCATAGGGTTTCTAAGTTGCAGCTGGTGGGTTTGAACCACCAGTCTTTTGGTTAGCAGTCCAGTGCTGATCCTGCAGTGCCACACCAGGACTCCTTTATAAAATGCTATTGCTGTTGTTAATGCTGTCAAGTCAGTTCCAACTCCTAGTGAACCTATATAAGGCTTCTGAGTTGCAGCTGGTGGGATTTCACTGCCTGTCTTGTGGCTTGCATTACAGTTCCAGTGCTTATCCTACAGGGTCACATAGGAGTTTGTTATAAATACTGAATGCTTTTTTTTTTTTTCTTATTAAGATTGCTCAGATTCCATTTTGTGGAGAAATTGACTGTGAAGATTGGATCAAAAAGACCACTGCCAGGTAAACAATGAACAGATAAAGAGTTTATGGTGTTGCAGTGGAAAAGAAGTATATGGCATATAAGAGTGGATTTCTTTGTTTTTTTATTTAGGGATCAAGATCTTGAACCTGGTGCTCCATCCATGGGAGCTAAAAGCCTTTGCATCCCCTTCAAACCACTGTGTGAACTGCAGCCTGGAGCCAAATGCCTCTGTGGCAAGAACCCTGCCAAGTACTACACCTTATTTGGTCGTAGTTACTAAGAGATAAAACAGAACAGCTATATTCAACCGTCCTGACTTTTTAAGAAATTGGTACTAATATCTTCTCAGATATAGCCAGTTTTTTTGATTTTTTTGAAAAATAAAAGTTCTAAAAGCAGGTCATATGAGACAAATAACTATTCTTATGCATAAAATAACAGTGGGTTTAAAAAAAATTTTTTTTCCCCAGTTAATAAATATCATGAATTGACAATGTTGTATGTATTCATTTGTTTCTGAAATGCAAGGAAATCTCTTTGAAGAGGTAAAGGTAGTTACTTGATCCTTGTTGTTCACAGTGTATTTGTTAATTCATCTAATCACTAAAATTAGTTTTTAATCCCCAAGTTAATACTTGAGGTGCTTTGGTGGTCACTCGTGGACACACACAAAATTGTGAAAATTAGAGTCACCAGAGTCACCAGAGTCACACATTCCCAGCTGAGATCAAGCAAAGTGACCTGGTTTCAACTCTGCTCCTGGAAACATTGTCCTTTTCATGGTCTTTTTAGTGCCACATTTTCATATTATGCTTTTTTTTTTGTTGGCAATTTCACTGTTTAAGTGGCTCTTAAGCATAGTGCTGAAACTTTGTCTTGTGTTCCTAAATACAAGCAAGTTGTGAGGTGTCTAGTTCTAGAGAAAAATGCATGCATTAGGTGAGCTTCCTTCAGGTCAGTTACAGGACTGTTGGCCATGAGCTAACATCAGCGAATCAACCAAACCCACTGTCATAAAGCCGATTCTGAGTCATAGCAACCCTTCAAAGGATTTCTGAGACTGAAAATCTTTACAGAAGCAGACAGCCTTGTCTTTCTCCTGAACAGCCCAACATCTAACCCACAGCTCCTTAGTGAATCAACAATACATAGAAATAAGGTATCTTTTTAAAAAGCACATATAAGACAATTCTTGTGAATAATAAGAAATAAATATAATTAAAACCTAGGTAACTGTTCTTGACTCTGTGCTGTCTCAGACCTCGAACCATCAACTTTTTTTCTTATCTTTAATCACTTCCTTTCTATAATTCTTCCTAGTGAATCTAAAATTGCCCTAAATCTTTCTGTTTAAAAATACAAAACAAAATTAACAAATGGAAGGGGTTTCAAATATCCTTTTCCTTTAGTTCCTCTAGTTACTATCTATTCTTCCACAAAAGTCATAAATTCTGAAAGAGTGACCACTTCTGCTCATTTCTACTTCTGGCTTGGCACTCTCTCCTCAGCCCACCTCTGGCCTCAGCACACCCCTGATAAAGCTCATGGCTAAAACTAACATTCACGTCTTAGCTCTCGTCTTTCCAAATCCTCTGCTGCATTTGATGTTGTTGTTGTTGTTGTAAAGTACCATCGAGTTGCTTCCGACCCATAGCAACCCTGAACAGGATTTCTGAGGAGCAGCTGGTGAGCTTGAACCACTGGCTTTGCAGTCTGACGCATTAACCCACAGCGCCACACCAGGGCTGCATTTGATAGTTATTGAAATTACCTAGATGACTTGCCATCCTACCTCTGACTTTCCTAACCTTGTGTATCTTTGACTAGCATTTTTTCCTTGGCCTGTTCCTTAGACATTGGTATACCACATTTCCATACCTGGCCCACTTTTCATGCTACCCAATCATCCTCATCTAATCCCCATGGTTTAAAATAACATTAACGGATGATGAAGCCAACATTTTTATCTCTAGGTTTGAGCTCTTGACTTTTATTCCAGCTACATACTGAAGTCCTTTGAGCGTTTCATGAACATTTCAGGTCAGAGTGTCCCCAAAGTTTCATGTCATCCTCCACCCCCAGACCAGTTCCTCCAATGGAATTTACTGACTGGAATGTTGTTGTTGTTGTTGTTGTTAAGTGCCGTAGAGTCAGTTCTGACCCATAGCGACCCTGTATAGGGTTTCCTAGGAGAAGCTGGTGAGCTTGAACTGCCAACCATGCAGTTCAAACGGCTCTGCAGTCTGGCGCATTAACCCACAGCGCTACAGCCTGGAATGTTAGATCTACCAAAATACCCCCTGTGACCCAAGCTAGGCACCCAAATCATTCTAAGCAGCTTCTCCAATATGCTGCCATCCATATTCTGCCAGCAAAGCATACTGCTGTTGTCTCTCCTGAGTTTCCCCTTTCTTTGTTAATGGTGACCTTGTATATAACAAGGAAATGCTACCCAGCCTGCGTCATCTTCATTGTTGGTTTGACTTTCTAACCCAGGAACCTCATCTTTTAGCACTATACCAGACAGTACTGCTACACATGGGACTTGATTGGCTCATTTTTGGAAGTAGGTCACCAGGCCTTTCTTCCTGGTCTTAGTCTGAAAGCTCCACTGAAACCGATCCACCATGGATTACCCTGCTGGTATTTGAAATATTAGTAGCATAGCTTCCAGCATCGCAGCAGCGTGCAAGCCTTGACAGAATGACAAGCTGACAGACAGGTGGTGGTCCTCTTTCATAGTTCTCTAGATTTTCTTCAGACCTCTTACCTGTTGTGTTGATTGCTTTAACGGCCTCCAGTCTCATCTCCAGGTAAGTTTCAATGCCGTAGTGTTGTTAAGTGCTATAGAGTTAGTTCCTACTCCTAGCAACCCTGGGTAGGGTTTCCAAAGAGCAGCCGGTAGGTTTTAACTACCAACCTTACTGTTAGCAGTCCAGTGATTATCCTATAGCACCACACCTATAACCACACGTATTTGTTTTCTTTCTCCCAAATATGCAGTTTCTGAACATGTTTTTCTTACCATAAAAATTCTTCCATAGCTTACCACTTACGGAATAAAACAAACTTTTTCGTCTCTAGTCTTAGATCATCCTGCCTTTCCAGTCTTATTTGCCAGTCCGACACTGTCCTTTGTAATCTAACCATTTGGCTTTTCTTATCAACAACATGCTGTCTCCTGTCTCTGTTCCTTTGTCTGCAATGCCTTTCATCCTTCATTTCTGCTCTACTGGTAAAGGTCTTATTCAGACACTGTTCCAATATCCTTTTTCACTTGGCAGTGACCAGTACTTCAGTCAAGGGAAATGACTTCAAAAAGGAACTGGATTCTGAGGTGGGCTTTGAAGGATGAGCAGTGTTTTAATTAATAGATAAGGAAGAAGGACATTCCAGGTAGAGGTAAGAGCAGGTGCAAAGACACGAAAATACATGTTATATGTAAAACCAACAAAATTGTTCCTAACTAAAAGCTTGTAAGTCCATCTTCAGCCTATAACTGATTGGAATACCTTAAAGGGGGCTAGAAGTTGCCCAGTGAAAGAGGCTTCCTGTGGAGCCTTTACATTGTACAAGACTGTAGGTGAAATCCAGAACCCCACCCAGAACCGACTGAGGTAGGAAATTTCCACTGGAAAGGACAAGTAGACCAGCCTGGAGTGTCTAGAAGAACAGAAGATACGTTGTGAAAGAAATACCAGCAGGAAAAATCTGAAACAATAGCGGCAGTCTGATTGATTACTACAAGAACAAGTAAGCTGTTTGCCCAGGAGCCATCAAAGCAAGTAGTTGGGACCCCTCAGAGCAAACCCCCTTCCAAGATTGAGACTCAAGGGGAATACATGAGCAGGCATGTGGTCTGGCTGGTGACACAGCTATGAAGTTGCGAGCTAAGCCTAACCACATTCAACAGACCCCTGTGAACCCGGGTGGAGACCTGGATGGCCAGCAGTATGGTAAGACCCCGGGACTCCTGAGCCCAGAGGCAGTGACATGGCCACAGAGGACCAGAGCAGAGAGTGAAGTGTCCAGCTGATAGGAAGTGAGGGGAGATGCACAAGAACACCCATATTTGCAGATAGTACCCACTTGACCTGGCTTCGATGGCTGGATGATCAGAACTCAACTAGAAGAAGAAAGAAGAAGGGCGGGGGGTGGGAAGAGTAACCTGCTATAATTTGATGAACTTTACCTATACTTATGGATGTAGTAGCTCAAAAAAAGGGAACAAATCTTTACAGCGAGGATCACTCCCACCCCCTTGGTACACAGGGTTGACAGCTATGGGCTACTTAGACATTGGCTACCCAAAATGGGGGGCCTATAAAGGCAAGAAGTGACTGGCTTACAAGCTTTCAAGAGGGAGCCTAATTCCAGACCGGGTGGGGGAAAGGTAGAATCACCATTGAATGATTTCCAGTCCCTTGGGACTGGGCTGGCGAAAGGAAATGTAAGACTCTTGTGGTACAATAGTGAATAATTGTCATCAGGACTGACTGTGAGGCTAGGAAATAATAGAGGTAGAAGTTTTTTGACAAAAGGAGGAAGAGTGAGTGATTTTGCAGCCCAGGAGAGGAGGTCCCTGGGACCATCAAGTGAGAAGAAAGGAGAGCGGGACCCTACCCAGAGAGCCAGGGATGGAGACAGATGATGATGTGGACAGATGGAGTGGCTGGGGACACTGGACTCAGAAGGAGAAGGGCTGTGTGCTGGTGGCTGGGGGTCAGGGCTGTGTGGTGTCCCGTTTGGTTGTTTGATGATGCATGGAAGGGATTATAATCATTGCAATGAAACGAAATACGATAGGATGAGTGTAAAGCTGATGTTCTCCCATGTAAACCTCACAATAAAAACTTAAGAAAAAAAAAGTTCCTAATTAAATTGGTAAGAAATTCAATTGAAGGCAGATTAAATATAGTATGCTTTCAAGACTAATGTTTTGTGTATATCATTAATATACCTAGCTTAAAGAGCAACTGAAATACCTAGATGATATTTTTATATTCAGAATCACAATTTTCTTAAATTATGATGGTTCAAAATGTTTTATCTTAGTCTATCTTTATTAGCTGTGTAAACTCTTTCTTCAGTTTGTAAAATGCAGAGCAGGCTAATACTTAGAGAGTAAGGTACTTAGAAAAACACCAAGCACATAACTAATAAATAATAGCTAGGTATCTTGGTGTGGTGCTGTAGGATAAGCACTGGACAGGTAACCCCAAGGTTGGTGGTTCAAACCCACTAGCTGCTCCTTGGAAGCACTATGAGTTGGAACTGATTCAATGGCACTTAACAACATTAGCTGGGAAACTGCCAGAATTTTAAGCCAGATTCAGAAGACGGCATAGAATGAAGGATATTATTACTGATGAATCTTGGCTGAAAGCAGCTAATACCAGAAAGATGCCTATTTATGTATGACTAACTATGCAAAGGCTGTGTGGATGATAACAAATTATGGATAACATTGTAAAGAATGGGAATTTC